AAGCAAACATAACAGACTCTGAACGTGATAAGCATCACTCATTAAACGATGAATTTTACGAACCAGGACTACAAAAGCGAAGTAAACGACAATAAATAAAATGAAAATAATTTTTTTTTACTAAAGTATAATTTATTCTTCGTGGAATAGGCCTATTGGGGAAACCACATCAAAAAAACCCGCCAAAAACTATACCTCGAAGGTGGTGTGGAAATAAGTTTTTTAAAAAATATTTTTATAATTATTACAGTTGTAATAGTTACAAGCATCCGGAATATACATATATATATATATATATATATATATATATGTATATTCCGGATATATATATATATATATATATATATTGCAATAAAACATTTAAAATAATAATTATTTTAAAAAAACTTTCTCTACAAATTTTGTAGAGAATTCTATTCCCGGTAAGAAGCGAGGAATAGAGAAAAATTGAAAGTTTGTAGACATAGAGCAGAAGTTAAGAATTTTTAATTTTTCTGAATAGGCGATTTTACGTTATTACCCAATTCCTCACTGAACATCAAAATATCAGAAAAATGAATTCTTCTCTATTCCCAGTAGAGGTAAGTCAATAGAAAAGAATTTAGACTTCTTATTCTTCTTAATGCGCAAAGTTTCATATTTTCAAATTTTTGGTAGCGAATAGAGAAAAATTAAATGTTTGGAGAGTAAATTTTAAATATCTATTCCTTTCAATCGACAGTATCAAAATTTCTGAAGCGCATTGAAAGGAATAAGAAATTTGGAGAGTCAAGTGGATATGTCTATTCCTTTTAATTGACTGTGCCATGACATCAGGAGCGGATTTAGAGGAATAGAAAATTTCTAGATTAAATGAGGTATCTTTATGCCTTGCAATTGACTGCGTCAGGTTTTTAAGAGCATATTCAGAGGAATGGGAAATTTAGGGTATAAATTCAGTATTTCTATGCCTCGCAATCGCCTGAGTCAAGTTTTTAAGACCGTATTCAGAGGAATGGGAATTTTGTAATATGAATTAAATATTTCTATTTTTTGTAATCGACTGCGTCAGATTTCTAAAAGCGTATTGAAAGGAATGAAAAAACTGGCGAGTATATTAATAATTCCTAATTATTTCAATTTTTTTAAAAATATTATAAGAAGCGAAAGAAAATGAATATAAATTTTAAGATTTTAAAAAAATATAAGTTAATATTTACTTATTGACTAATTAAAGACATTTTTAAAAAAGTTGAATAAACAAATATTTTTACTGTAAATCTGAACTTTTTCAGTGTGTGTAAAAATGGAAGTGAAACAATAGTGTACTGAATTAAATTATTTAACCACCCGGTAAGAAGCGAGGAATAGAGAAAGATTGAAATTTTGTATATATTAAGCATAAGTTGATCATTTTCAATTCTTCTGAATGGGTGAATTTACGTTTTTACTCAATACCTCAGTGAACATCAAAATATATAAAAAATGAATTCTTTTCTATTCACAGTAGAGATAACTCAATAGAAAAGAATTCAGGCTTCTTATTTTTCTTAATGCGCGAAGTTTCTTATTTTCAAACTTTTGGAAACGAATAGAAAAAAATTAAATGTTTGGAGAGTAAATTTTAAATATCGCATTTTGGAGCGCATTTAGAAGATTAGAATATGTGGATAATAAATGAGGCATTTCTATGTTTTACAATTGATTGCGTCAGGTTGTTAAGAAGAATATGTATAATTTAGAGTATAAATTTTAGCCAAGTCATTTAAGAAGAATTGATTTTTTTACTTTTTTTTGCTTCATCGAGAAATTGAATGAAAACTTAAATTCTCCCATTTAAAAGAATTGGAACTCTGAATTCTTTTCAATTATTGCTATATAAACATTGTTACTTAATTTATTTTCGAAAAAATTGGAATGTAAGCAGAGTTCACTTGATTGAAAATTAAGTTCATGTCCATGTCATTCTAAATTAAAATGTCGAAGTTAATAAACTTCACATAAAAATTAGGTATTAAAATTCGTATTCCATTTTTGTGTTGAAAAGATGGAAAAATTTTGTAATTTTTATTCATTAATACAATTAATCATTTAAAACTATTTAAATTGACAAAATTATTAATTGATATTATTAATGTTCATAAAAATATATATACTATATAATATACTTTTTGTAATAATGGACATCTGAAAAGCTAGTTTGATGACTTTACAAAATAATATAAGTATCTGTTTAATGTGTTCGTTATAAGAGACATTTTCTCAAAAAATTTTATAGCCTCCCCTGGTCGAGCGCGTTAAGGCGCTCCCAGTGCGGTTGAGAGCTATGATGATCGAGAGTTCGAGTCTCAGAGTCAACTCGTCGGAAAATCCAAGATTGAGTAATGAATACTCATTTTTTCTATTCCCAGTACAGATAAGTCAATAGAAAAGAATTCAAACTTCTTATTTTTCTTAATGCGCAAAGTTTTTTATTTTCAAACTTCTTGGAAGCGAATAGAAAAAAATGAAATGTTTGGAGAGTAAATTTTAAATGTCTATTCCTTTCAATCGCAGCTTCCAAATTTCCAAAGCGTATTGAAAGGAATAAGAAATTTGAAAAGTGATGAAGATGTGGTTATTTCTATAAATTGACTATATGCCAGGCCATTTGGAGCGCATTTAGAGGAATAGAAAATGTGGAGAATAAATGAGGCATTTCTATGTTTTACAATTGACTGCGTCAGAGTATATGTATAATTTAGAGTATAAATTTTGGCCAAGTCAATTAAGAAGAATAGATTTTTTTACTTTTTTTTGCTTCATCGAGGAATTGAATGTGTATAGTATAGTATAGTACAACGCGAGTGTACATAGTGTACACCCGGTATTACGCAACCTGCAGCGTTTCGCACGCGTACCAAATTAATGAATCAAAAAAAATGTTTAAATAAAAGTTGCTTATTTTTCTTGGCTCTTTAAGTTTTATTAGGGAATATTTTTCATAATTTGCATCAGATTCGCTGAAATTGCAAAATGCAATTTTCCACCCTCCAAATTAACAACATTTTTCAACATAACTTTGAAAATAATAATTTTTTTAAAAGAATTTCTGTAAAAATATTGTAGAGAATTTTATTCTCTATGAAATTATTCATTACAATTTTTTTCATATTAACCATATTTTGCAAGATATTTGCAAAACAAAAAATCACCCCTTTTTCAATATGGCGGAAAATGTTACCACCCCCCGAGGTCGAAACCTCGGATTTAAACATTGGAAATCCCCCTTCGATTAAAAAAAAAAATTTCCATGTTGGAATTAATGTTTTTAAACCCCCTTTTAAACGCCCCAGTGACAGGACTATAACAATCGATTCCGTGTTTGAGCCCGTTTTTTCGCCCTTTGCTGGTAGAGTCGTTTCTTTTACTTCAGTAAAGTAAATTTATTTTTTTGTCGGATTTAAATCACTGATTTTAATATAATTACTTTTTTTTATTATGCTGGCGGCAAATAATTTTTTTATTTAATAAATTTTTCATTGATGCGCAACACTTACAGCTTTTAGATATGTTACTTTCAAGTGGCATTATTAAATTGCATTTTTTATGGCACAAAATATCAGTTTTGTCGGTGTAACTAAAATAATTTAAGAGATTGTCAATTCCTGATGTTTCAATATCTAGACAACCTTAACATACTGAGCGCTGATTGATCGTATTTATTAATTTTTCTAAATTTTCAATTGAATTTAAAGTTTCATTTTCAATTACAAATTCCTTAATTTGCATGTCAAGTCCATTTACTTTAATTGTTGGGCTCATATTTTTATCTATCATTATTTCTAATTGACAAAAAGATTCCACGAAACCTGTTTTATTTTTTCTGACAATTAATTTGTGTATCGTGATAGCCCACTCACTTTCTTCACCCCAAGTGAAATTTGTTCGTCCCCATGAAATTCGAAGTGATGTAGAATTATTATCGGGAAATATTAGATTAAATAAGTCTGTCTTATCCGAAGTTTCTTAATTAATATGTTCGATATTTTCCTTATGAATTGTTGAATTATCTTCGACATTTTCAACATAATTTTTATCAACAGGAGCACTAGTTCTTAACCCTACCGGAAGGGTGGTACTGGATTGGTACTGGGAAATTGGAACTGAGATCTCAGTACCAACTCAGTACTAATTTGGTGCATTTTGGTACTGAAATGGAACTGAGAAATTTTTTCCTGCGAAAAGGGTCGAGTTACCGTTAACCTTTGTTTGACACACTGGGGTACAAAATACCCCACGTTTTTCCATTCTTACCAATTTTTCTCGAAATACCTCACGTTTTCCAATTTTTTAAAAATACTTACTTTAAATATTCTACTATATAACTTATATAGTTTTCAGAAGATACCTCTCAAGAATATGTAAAAAAAAATTGAAGTAGATATATTTAATATTTTATTTTTCATGATGATTTTTGTCGATGGGGTACAAAAAACCCCAATGTGTCAAGTATGATACTCAGAAAAAGTGTGTCAAGTAAAGGTTAATACCCTCATAAAAGTGAAAAGCGACTAGCTTTTTCAATATGTTTAAACTAAAACTTTATATTTATTTCAATATTATATTTGTTTTTCATGGATTTATATTATTTTCATACATTATTATGCATATGATATTTCCTTTGTCAGCTAAATTCAAAAATGGTGTCCATTTTTTTTATCAAACTTAAGGTATACGAGATAAATTATAACTTTTTTAAATGTAATTATTTTATGGTAAATTTTAGATATTCATAATCTGGAAATATTAACGACTCTGAATATATATTTTTTAAAGTTGAGTTATTAAAATTACAAATTTTTTAAGCAATAAAACTCGGGTTAAAATTTTAATCCTTCAACAAAGGACCTAGGGATCTATTGTTCAAGGAGGGATTGCAATATAATTTCCAAACTTAACAGAAATTTTCTACAAACTATTATATTTTTTTTGCTGTTTTACACGTATATCGTGAGAGACGGTTTGTTGATCTTATATACCTTTAAAACTATTGTTAAAGTACTTTAAAAATGTCTTCTTATGGGTTATCAGGTAGTGGTACTGAAGTGGAACTCAAGCCAAGTCCAATTCAGTACCATTCCAGTACCACTCTTTCGGTAGGGAATGTTTTAATTGTAGGTGTCGAATCGTCACTCACATTAAATCTTTCTCTCGGTCTTTTCCGACTTTTTATTGGTTTCTCAGGACGTCCAAGATTTAGTGTAGGCAAAGCACCTTTCACAAGTTTAGGCCTTTTGTATGTACTCTAAAATACATAAAATATTTTTAAAATAAAATTCATAATTGGATAAAATGGAAATAAGTAACATTGGTTTTTTAATACATTATAATTAAAAATAGAGATACGTAATAAGCTCGAAATTTGATACATTCTTGTGAAACAAAAAGTTACTTTCATTAAAGGGAGTAACCGAAAAATCATTTATAATATACAATTATTATATATTATTAAAATTAAAAAATATATTTTTTACCATTTTAAAAATTTTATTTTTGAAAAAATTCATATTTTTCAAAATTCATGCGATTGATTGATCATAATTATGAAAAATAATAGAAATTGTGAGAAAACTTTAATTTTTTAACTAATTGTTTTTCTTTTAATTTTTATAGAATATTACGTATTCAAAAATTAATTCTTTATTATTTTATATACATTTGACTAATATTAAGTTTTTATCTTAGTTTGTTTGAAATAAAAATTTCGAAAAAATATAAAATAATAATAGTAAACTAAATTTGTCTGTATTCTTAAATTAGAAAACAAATTACACAGGCACACAAAAAAAGTCAGGTCCCAAAAAACACAACCCCATATTCCTATGTTTTTGGGGTCGCTAAATCCGAAAAACACCACTAAAAACAAATCCTTCCTTCCCTTAACCCCGTACAACCCTCTAGGAGGGGGTTAAAATTTTAAATTTCACAAAAAGTCAAGTTCGGTGTCTAATCCTCCGTTTTTTGGGGCGCTGAAACCGAAAAACGTCACCAAAAAATAGTCCTTTCCTCCCTTAACCCCCTACAACCCCCTAAGAAGGGGTTGGAATTTTTATTTTTACAAAAGTCGAGTACGGTATCTATTCCTATGTTTTTTTGGTCGCTGAAATAAAAAAACACTACCAAAAAAAATTCTTTACCCCCTACAACCCCTGAGAGGGGGTTGGAATTTCATTTTTCAATGGCGCTAAGTGTAGAAAAATAAATTTGCATAAGACTTTGTAGGTGCGTATTTGTGTAATCATAGGTAACTTTCTAGAAAACTTTATTTTTGGTGACGTTTTTCGGTTTCAGCGCCCCAAAAAACGTAGGATTAGACACCGAACTTGACTTTTTGCGAAATTTAAATTTTTAACCCCCTCCCAGAGGGTTGTACGGGGTTAAGGGAAGAAAGGATTTGTTTTTAGTGGTGTTTTTCGGATTTAGCGAGCCAAAAAACATTGGAATTGACACCCTACTTTATTTTTGTTTTAATTTGAAACTCCAACCCCCGTGAGTAGGTGCAAGGGGGTGGTTGCGGGAAAATGGGTCGGCAAAAAAATTTTTCATGGTCATATTCGGTTTCAGCGACTCCAAAAACATAGGAATATGGGGTTGTGTTTTTTGGGACCTGACTTTTTTTGTGTACCTGTGTTATTAAAGTAGAAAAAATTACAATTTAAAATGCATTTAAAATATAAATATAACTTAGAAGCGAATTTAAAACAACAAATACGTACCTTCCTAAAGATAGCAGCGCCATCGCAGTAGGACGGTCACCTTTTATACCATCTTTTTTCTATTGTAATGCACTAGGGTGACTGGAACTGTTCCTCATTATTTCTTTCTAATTTATCCTCAATGTATGATGGTGCTAATTGTACTTAGTATATACGTACTGTCAGATCTTTTAAATATTCTGCGGTCAAGACTGGGAAGTTTGGTACATCCAAATGATTTAATCGTCTCCAATGACCATTTTTATTGACTAATCATTAAATTAATTAGTCAATTAATTTTTTGTTACAGTGAATATTAATCAAAAAAATTATTTCTAGCACACAAAAAATTGTTGCGATAAGGAAATAATTTTTTTCACAATTTTTCTATCTGTAAAAAATTATTTAATTAACTAATTATTGATTTATGGAGTTAATTAATTTTTTTACAGAGAAAAAGTGTCAAAAAAATTATTTCCTTATCGAAACTATTTTTTTGGGCTAGAAATAATTTTTTTGAGTTATTTTCTCTGTAGAAAATAATTAATTCTTTTTTACTTTGAAAAATTGCAAAAAAAAATTATTTCCTTATCGCAACAATTTTTTTTTCACAGGAAATACTTTTTTTGGACATTGTTCCTCTGTAAAAAAATTAATTAACAAAATAAATAAATAATATTATAATAAATAAATAAATTAATAATTAGTTAAATAATTTTGTACAATACCTTTAAACCTATTTTTAAAGAGAGTTTTTGCTCAGGTTCGGCTTTTAAATGTACACGTTTGCAGAGTTTTTTTGGGAAAAAGAAATTATGTTTTTCGTTCGAACGAATCATGTTCTTTTTGTAAATTTGAGGATGAGAGTCTGTACCATATTTTAGTGAATTGTCCAGCTTGCAAACATATTTGTGAAAGATATTTCCCACATGTTTGTAATGTGAATGATTTGTCAAGTGGTTGGATCGCGGTAATGTCTTCGAGTGATCGTTCCACGATTAAAGATTTCGTTTACATGATTCTGCAAATCCTTAATGATCGTCTTGATTCTGAGTCTGTTCTTTGATCACTATTTTGTTTTACTGTTAAAAACGAAACTCTTCTTGTATTTACTTTATGTAATAAAACAAGCAAATAAATAATAATAATAATTATTGATTTATGGAGTTAATTAATTTTTTTTACAGAGAAAAAGTGTCAAAAAAATTATTTCCTTATCGAAACTATTTTTTTGGGCTAGAAATAATTTTTTTGAGTTATTTTCTCTGTAGAAAATAATTAATTCTTTTTTACTTTGAAAAATTGCAAAAAAAAATTATTTCCTTATCGCAACAATTTTTTTTTCACAGGAAATACTTTTTTTGGACATTGTTCCTCTGTAAAAAAATTAATTAACAAAATAAATAAATAATATTATAATAAATAAATAAATTAATAATTAGTTAAATAATTTTGTACAATACCTTTAAAAATATAACTTTCAAATATTTTGTTCTAAATTAATATAATTAATTTTTTTATTAATTTATATGTTTATTTACAACATTAAATTATTATTAAAAAATAATAAAAGTCATTGGAAAAAATTAATTTCAACATTTGGTCATATGAGAGCACTAGTCGAATAACTCTTCGAACCATACATTTAAAATGTAATAAAAATTGTTTTAGGTTTTGTTTAAAGAGTTATTCGACTAGTGTTCTTACTTGACTAAAAGATGAAAATAATTTTTAACAACGACTTTTATTATTTTTTAATAATAATTAAGTGTTAAATAAACGTAAAAAGTAATTAAAAACTTAATGAAATTAATTTAGAACAAAATATTTGAAAGTTACATTTTTGATTGTATGGTTGGAAGAGTTATTCGACTAGTGTTCTCATATGACAAAATGTTGAAATTAATTTTTTCCAATGACTTTTATTATTTTTTAATAATAATTTAATGTTGTAAATAAACATACAAATTTATGAAAAAATTAATTATATTAATTTAGAACAAAATATTTGTAAGTTATATTTTTAAAGGTATTGTACAAAATTATTTAACTAATAATTTATTTATTTAGTTAATTTATTTTTTTTACAAAGAAAAATTGTTAAAAAAAATTATTTCCTTATCGCAACAATTTTTTTTGTGCTAGAAATAATTTTTTTGATTAATATTCACTGTAACAAAAAATTAATTACCTAAATTATTCCATTCTTTTAAATGACTTTGAACAAATATGTCCATATTGAAAAACTATTAATCAATATATGTATTATAATTTAAACAAAATATATATAAATACACTTTCTTGCCGACACTATGATAATAATAAAAACACTAAATTCGCCTTAACCTCTAGCACTCAATCGTAGTCAGTCTTAGTCGAATCACTGCATTGTTTTCGCGCATGCGTTAAATCCTTACAGAAAATATCTGTAGAATTAACAGATTTAGGAACATGTAAAATCTCCAAATCGATGTTAAAGAATTACCAGAAAATTTTTTTCCGTGCATATTTTCCAAACGGCTTCCTTGTTTGAAAATCCCTACTGTGAAATTGTAGAGAGTCACTTTCTAAAGAAAATAAGCCATATTTCATTGAAATTGAATCATTTTTAAAAAATTCTGTAGAAGCGATGTGACAGAAAATTTTTATCTTATGCAAATTGTATAAACAAATAATTTTTGTCGTTTTTAAACCTTTTTCTTGAAAATTGATATTTCTTTCTCCAGAAAGTAGAATTAAAAATATTATTTTAATTATTTAAATATTAATTATTTTTTCTGGAGGTCTGGATTTCCGTCGATAAACGTCCTTAATTTTTTGTCAAATGAATTTTATGAAAAATGAAATTTATGTTATATCATTTTTATCTCAATTGAATTTTATTTCAAGTGAATTTTCTGTCAAATAAATTTTATGCCGAATGACTATTACATCAAATGAAATTTATGCCGAATGACTATTACATCAAATAAAAATTATGTCAAATTACAATCTGCACCAATAATTAAATTTGGTGGTACGGAAGAATACCATAGAATAACCTAAGTATTAAAATTATTTCTGGCCGAGATATCCGACTATAACTTTGTATGGTTTTAATTAATAATAAAGTCAGATCATTTATTTGACATAGGGGACATAAGGGCAAAATCGGATAGTTAACGTTTGAAGCTCAATAAAACTAACATTACTACCCAGGCGCGAAAAACCAATGCTGACGATGGATTGAGGCTTGATTTTAGATTGAACGCCCAGCGTGGGTAACCCAGACTGAAAGCAGCCTTTATACCACTGACAATCAAAATTGGTTCAAGATTGGTTACCAATGCTCGTCTCATGCTGGATTCAAGTTTAGTTGAATCCTCATGAGCAAAGCCAAGAAGTCCAGTCTAGATTCAATCTTGAATCAACTTTCGACTTAATATTCGCAGCTTAATTCAATATTAATTATTATCTTGTATAAAATACAATTTATTATATTGAATAATTATTTATATACGTTCAATATAAATTAAATAACATATTTTTTACAATTTTTGTTAAATACAATTTAATATATTTTATAATTATTAATTAATATTATTTAAATTAATATATTGCTATTTATTTCAATGAAAGTATTCTTTGTTTTTTTATAAATAAATATTTCATAAATATTATATTTGTAAATACAATAAAAATCATAATAATTATATTCAACACATTTTTGAAAATAATTTCTTTTAATAAATTTTGTTTTTTTAAGATTATATTATAGTAATTTATCATCTTTATTATGTATTATTATATATTATAATTTACCTATAATATTGTAATAATTAAAGAATTATTATTTAATACATTATGAAGATAATAAATCTTTAATATAACGTAAAAAACATAATATTTACTATAATTGTATTTTCAAAAATACAAATAATTGAAAATACAACAGTTGAAATATTTTCAAATTTATATTATGCTTTTATTTTATATTTTTATTGTATTTATAAATATATAAGTTATTAATTTAATAAAAATAAAAGTTTATACATTCATTACATTATTATCGAGAATAATAGTCAAGTTAGGCTGTTTTAAATTGATTCTAAACTCGTAAAAAAAGGAACTTCATTTTAAAACAAAAAGGGCATACTCTTTAATTGATTAATCTACAGTTAATTAATTGTTTAAACTTTTTAAAAAAGAAAGAACATATAATGTTAAAAAACATTCAGAAATATCGGTCAGAAATAATTTTCATAATTAAATTATGTTCTAAAAATTTGTCGTACCACCTGATTTAATTATTCGTGCAAAAAAACTACGGCACATAAATGATTTGGATTTTTTAAAAATTAAAAACATGCAAAGTTCGTATAAAAGTTGGAAATCACGGTCAGAAATAATTTTGATACTTAGAATATGCTATGGGATTTTGCTGTACCACCTAATTTACTTATTCGCGAAAAAACCTGCGTCAAATAAATGATTTGACTTTTTTAAAAATTAAAAAAAAATACGAAATTAGCATAACAGGTGGAAATCTCAGTCATAAATTATGTTGATACTTAGGTGATGCTATGAGAATAATTAAATAATTATTTTGACGTAGGGTCAGTTGAGGTAAATGGGGACAAGAGGTTTTGGAGCTTAATTTACAGTTTTAAAATTAAGTTCAACGTCAATATTTAAACCTCAGATCACCTGAAAGAGGTTTTGAGTAATGCCAAGCTTTTATCTTGACAATTGGCAGCAAAATAATTCAAGTTATCGCTCAATGCATTAAAACTTGAAAATCAAAGTGAAACTGTTTCAGTATTTTGTCTCGCATTTCAAAGAAAACAGATTTAAAAATCATACCAAAATTTTTTCCTATTAATTATATTTCTTATTATTATATTTGGTTAATAATGACAAGCTGTCCCCATTTACTCTGAGTTTTCAAATTTTTGGGGTAAATGGGGACAGCTTGTCATTATTAACCAAATTGACAAAAATAAAAAATTCAAGTGAATTTCTGTTATGGGAGTAATAAGGAATAAGAAAAAAATTTGGTATGATTTTTAAGTCTGTTTTTTTTCAAATGCGAGACAAAATACTGAAATAAAAAAAAATAAAAAAAAATTCAATTGGTTTAACTATTATATATATCTACTAAAAATTTTTTTTAAGTTTTTTCATCCCTTAATACAGTAATATACTTAAGGAAATTTTTTTCTTAAAACTTTCTTAGAAACTGTGCTGTCCCCTTTTACCTTAAATTTTATGAAATTTTCTAAATTTTGGGGTAAATGGGGACAGTCAGTTTCATGCGTTTAAAGATTATCTAAATTTTTTTCTGCTGCATAAAATTAATCCTGGGAATGTAAACAACAACTTAAAAAAAATAAACCCGCAAATATTATCTTTTAAAGGAAGAAACTTACGTTATTTTGTGAAAAATAGCAATTTTGTCCCCATTTACCCCAACTGACCCTATGTCATTATTCTGTTATTTTTTATTAGATTTATTGTTAAATAAGTCCTTTTCGACCAACTAATTTGATTAAAATGAGTCTGAGGAAGAAAGGTTATAACTAATATGACAATTCTGATACAATATTGTAAAGTTAACTTTCATTTTTAAATAATTTGAGAAACCAATTGTAAGATTTGATTACGGAAAATTTACGGCAAAATCATGTGCATTCAAATTTTTTTAGCATTTTATTTACAGTGGTTGTATTGATAACTTGATATTAAGTTAGCTGTGTACAAATTTTGAATTCAAAAATTTTTAATATTTTTCGAGATAATTACAATAACAAATTAGAGCAATATTTTTTTTGCTTTACTTATAACTTTTTCCTTACTAAAAATAGAGAAAAATGTTGAGAATGTTTTTTACGTCGAAGACCTTAAACTTTTAGACAAAAATGATTTTTTTTTAAATATTAATTTTTAAATAATTTGTTTAAAAAATAAAATTTGTTTATAACTTTTAAACATGTTCTCCTACATTTTGAAGCGCAAAAAGAATCACGAATATTGTTTAAGTCATAATAAATCAATGGTTAAATTTCTGAGATGGCATTATTTTTTGTTTTCGAGATATCAATTAATTAACTACCAAAAGTTAATAAAAAATGTAATATTTTACGAACAAATAAAATTAGAGTAATTTTAAAAACACCATTCCAATGCTTATCGAAATCCGCATCCAACGAGCCCTATATTTACTATTTCGGATGAACGGGTGTTAAATTAATAATTAATAATAAAAATTATTTAAATAATTATTAACATTTGAAGGAGTAGAGTTACGCCGTCAATTCTTTTTCTGTTTGAAAGATGATTTAATTCTGTGTCATATAAGATCAGTGTAAATAGCAATTTTTACAATCTAAATTATTAACAGATGATTATTGAAAATCGATGTTTCAGCACCCCACGGCACAACTTAGCGGAGGTTCCCTATCTACTCGGCACGGTATTGTAGATGAACTTTCAAACAGAAAAAGAATTGACGTCTTAACTCTATTCCTTCAAATGTTAATAATTATATAAATAATTTTTATTATTAATTATTAATTTAACACCGGTTCATCCGAAATAGTTAATATAGGGCTCGTTGGATGCGGATTTCGATAAGCATTGGAATGGTGTTTTTAAAATCTCGAAAACAAAAAATAATGCCATCTCAGAAATTTAACCATTGATTTATTATGACAAACAATATTCATGATTTTTTCGCGCTTCAAAATGTGGGAGAACATGTTTAAAAGTTATAAACAAAGTTTATTTTTTAAACAAAATGTTTAAAAATTAATATTTAAAAAAAAATCATTTTTGTCTAAAAGTTTAAGGTCTTCGACGTAAAAAACATTCTCAACATTTTTCTCTATTTTTAGTAAGGAAAAAGTTATAAGTAAAGCAAAAAAAATATTGCTCTAATTTGTTATTGTAATTATCTCGAAAAATATTAAAAATTTTAAATTCAAAATTTGTACACTTATTTAGCACCACTATTACTAAAATTTACCAAATTTTGAGAAAAATCCGAGACATGACCCCGTATTCTTATATGAAATGCCTCAAGTACCTTATATCAATAGATATTTTTGAACAAATTTTCTGTAATTAATAGAATCAAAGCAGTAAAAAATTTCCTTGAGACAGTTTTTCCTAACTTGGCTGGATGCTTGTTCTCGTTCTTTGACAAGTGAAATTATTTAGTTCTCTTAATTCGTCAATTCTCTTAAATTAAGTATTTTTCTTCTTACAGACAAAATAATCTAGTTTTTTATTTTTAGCCATTTTTTTCCTACATAATATTTTCTCTAACAGGTGAAAAGTTCTATTTTTCTTATTTCTAGTTTTTTTTTACCGTGTATTTTCTCTGACGGTCGAAATAGACACTTTAAATTGACAATGTAATTTTAATTATTCAGCTTTCTTTATATGCGAAAATATCATTCTAATTGGGGATTCAATAAATTGAATTAAAACATGTGTATAAAAATTACTTACATGATAGTTCAGCTAGAGTATGTTCTCCTAAATGATTAAAACTAGCATCAAGTCTCAGGGGTTGTAAACATCTTTGGCACGTAAAATTCACATTAGTTCTTACATCGACCATTCTTGAACCTTTTAATTTTCAACTAAGTATCTCAATACACAATTAGTTTCACAGAAATATTATTATTAAACAAAAATTTGACCATTGAATAACCAACAGCTGATTTCGTATTTGGGCATAAGCACAATAAGATTATGATGGCAAGCATGAGGTAGAAAAGGACAGTTTTATATTTGTGTTCAGGTTAAAGGTATTCGCACAAGCTTTCTGCTTAAAGGTTAAATTCAATAAGGTCTAAGCACAACTCTGTCGGGTACGCAAGTCGTGTACGTACAGGCCTAAGCAGAATAGACTCTTGAACGGGAACGCAATCGTAAACGGAAACGTAAGAATGTGTAAGAGAAGGATAGCAAATATCTTTATTCTTCTCTCACCCATTCTTACGTTTCCGTTCACGATTGCGTTCCCGTTCAAGAATCTATTCTGCTTAGGCCTTACGGAAGCTTCTACGCGCCACCTTGTAAAGGCCTTTTTCCAATAGGATCCTAAACTCTTGCGTTGCGTATGCATTGCGTCGGTTGCTATTGGCAACCAATGCTAAAATCAACGCGTCAGTCACGCAACGCAAAAGTTTAGGTTCCATTGGAGAAAGGCCTTTACGAGCAGGGCGAAACCAACTTATGCTCATTTCATATTTAGCATACAGAACATCGATGTTTCAATTGTAACGAGCGACTATATTCTCGCTCGAATCATTTCGATGTATCGAATGATCGATACGATATGATTAAAGTTACGATTTAAATAACCTAAATTAAGTGTAATTAAATTAATTATTAAATTATTATTAATTAATTAATATTATTAATTAAATTAAGTGTAACAGTTTCTCATAATAAATAAAATAGAGTTTTTCACATAAAGGAAATAGCATGACTAATTCTAAAGTATTTCTGTTGAAACTTTTAAGTTTATTTCAATATCGTATTTCTTTTAGCAACATAAAAGATTAAAAGAGAAATGTCGTAAATCAGTACAAATAAATAAGAGAAAATTTATTCACATATTTCCTCTTATTTCAATTCTAAAATGTAAACCTAGAACGTCATAAAAAACCACTTGAAAAATGTGATCCTTTCTATAAAAAAGGGACACTAAACACATGTTGACCAGACACGGACTTTTACTACCTTCAATAGAAAAGTCGCGTACAGGCTAAACAATAGACGAAGTCTACAACGGAAATGCTTTGTATAAGAAACCAATAAATAATTAAATAATTGTTTATGTACATGTTTTAGTATATTTACATATTTGTATGTAAGCGTAATTAATATTGTTAATTAATTGATTATCAGAATATTATAATTTAATATTATTACAATTATATTATAATAATATAATTGGGGCCCACACAGCACATAAAATTTCCTGAATTTGTCCTGAATATTTCATTGAAAGATTCGAAATATTTCAATGTAAGGTCCATGAAATTTTGATGCAACAATGAAATGTCCGCCTATAAGAAATATTGCAGTTCCGATTGTACGAAAAATTTCAGCGAAATGTTGAGGAAATGTGAGGATGAAAAATTACTGACATATTATTTTTTAATATTTGCAAAATAAAAAAATGAAATATGTTACAAATTTTTAAGTGAAATATTTTGAAAAGATTATTCATTAAAATTCTAGAAATATATCGAAATGAAATATTTCTAAATTGTTAAAAATACATATTTAGGCAATATCATCCGGATATATTTGTGAAAAATAAAAAAAATGAATTTCAGAAATAAATTGCGGTAGTGATTGTGAAAATATGTGACAAAATTAGTTGACCAATAGTAAACCTTTGTAAAAGAAAAAATTTTTCGATAATAATGCCTTAAATTATAACTTACAAGTGAATCTTAAATTTAACATATCTCAAAATGTCTTAAATCGACGTATGCCGTCTTTCTGGCGATCGGTTCATATGTACTTTTTGTCATTTGCAATTTTAGACAAATTAAATTTTAAACATTTGAATACTCTGAAAAATAGAAATGTTATCAAATGACAATTCTGCGAAAAAATTTTTTTGTTCAATTATAATTATGCAGTAAATTAAGAATTCAATTAAAAAGTTACGAATATTGAAAGTCCAGTCAAGTAAAATTTGTAACAAATTGACTTTTATAGTATATCCTTGCGTACCTGAGCGGATCTTATTTATTTTAAGTATTCTATTTTTATACTTACTGTTCATATATATTAATCATGTTTCGCTTGTTGCATCTTACATGTAATAATTTCTTTATAATAAATAAATTGTCACTATTTCACTAAATACACAAATTGAAATATTTCGAATCTTTCAATGAAATATTCAGGACAAATTCAGGAAATTGTATGTGCTGTGTGGGGGATTAACCATATAATGTTGTGATGATTAATGTTTATTATATTTTAATAAATAGTATGATGGGAGAGAATATGTATATAGAATATGTAATAAGTGTTAGTGAAGTGATACAGATAAATAGGAGTAGCGAATAAGGTTATTCAAGTTGGGTGGGGGAAAGCCAAGCTGGTGCACAAACATCCGGTCTATCAGCACACATTTCCACGTATTTCTCGTGGGAATGAATGCTGATAGGCTGATAGGCCGGATGTTTGTGCACCAGCAATCATCCATCTTGGCTTTCCCACACCCAACTTGAATAACCTTATACTGTCCATATTGAAGCATGCGCACAAACTCAAAATGGACCAACAGCGTAGAGCGACTCCGCTGGACCAAAAACTCTTTAAGTTAGTTCTAATCTTGACTCTGACTTGAAAGGGTGTTTTCTAAACTCCTTAGTCAGCTTTGTATTTTATTATATTAATAAATTTACAGGGTTTTACATTCGAAGGAAGAACTAATAATTATTTTTCCTTTGAACGGGTTTCCCTTCCGTTGTATCGGAAATTAATAATCTTTTATTTAAACCTTCCCGCTTCCTTCTTGAAGGATTTAATTAAATAGAATCCGGCCAATCATATTCCATTTTTTGAGTTGCGTAATAAAAGGTAACTCGGCTCGTAACACAATGTTCTTGTCGTCAAGAACACACAAGTTGGTTCGATGGTTCGACTGCGCAAGCTTCTATACGGAAGCCTGTACGGCTCACGAGCGTCTCGGACGCAAGTGGCGGTGTTACGTACCACAAGTGGCACGAAGTCCGTCCACCTTGTGGCAAGTTCGTTAGTTCGTGCCACTTGTTGGACAGACTCCGTGCCACTTGTGGAAAGTGGATTTTTTGAAGGGTCATTCACAAATATGACAATTCCGTTGGATCCTGTTGCCGTCTATTTCGTCAGTGCTTTTCATTTCAATTTCATGTGAAGAAGAAAAAATGAATTTTATAAGATATTAGTAATATTAGCATATTAGTAAATGTCATCGAACAAACTTTTTATAGTTCACACATAAATACTCCTCCCAAACGTAAATATACATATTAATAAACTACGGATTCCACTAAGAATTAAGCGGAAGTTTTTTCTTAGTTTTTTTAATTTTTCTTAGTTTAGAATAAAAATAAGATTTTTTGGTTATGTTGTCATTTTTTAATTTAAAATACATGAAGAGGATTTTATTTTTTAAAATTAAAAGTATATTTTTATGAATATTTAAGATTAATAAAGATGTCAATATCATTTGTTTACACTGAAATGTAATCTTTTAAATATATTTTCAATTAAAAAATAACAAATGCATTTTTATTCAAAAACATTAAACGGACTTGCCCGGATGAAATTATACTTGAAATGAAAAGCACTGACGAAATAGACGGCAACAGAATCCAACGGAATTGTTATATTTGTGAATGACCCTTCAAAAAATCCACTTTCCACAAGTGGCACGGAGTCTGTCCAACAAGTGGCACGAACTAACGAACTTGCCACAAGGTGGACGGACTTCGTGCCACTTGTGGTACGAAACACCGCCACTTGCGTCCGAGACGCTCGTGAGCCGTACAGGCTTCCGTACTTTAGTTCGCTCAACGCCACAGGGAGGGTGAACATCATAAGGGCGCCGTCCCATGACAGCGTGAAACGCCGGCGTAAAGCGAAAAGCATGAGATCGAAAGAGATAATGAGATATCTTTATCTCTTTCGTTCTCATGCTTTCCGCTTTTACGCCGGCGTTTCACGCTGTAATGGGACGGCGCCTTAACTGTTTCTCGCAGTTGAGGTGCCATTAGATTGGTATATAAGCAGTGATCGAAAATTTTTTTCTTGTCGAAATTTTTTTCTGCCCGATGTCTCTCCTATTTATTAGATTTGAGACAAATTCTTTTTTGGAAGAAATGGTTTCCCTAATACTTTGATGACCATTTTTTTTATTTTAATTTAATTATTAAAAATAAAATAATAATAATAATAACTATTAAAAAATAATAAAATTTTTTTTTAATTATTGATTTTTTAAATTATTATTAAAATTTTTAATATTGGCTAATTATTGGTTGCCAATAATTGGCATCGGCGTGGGCAGCCCATGACTAGTGTTTTAAAATTCTCGGTAAAATTGAAACCTGAGAATGTAAGAAAGAAAATTGCGGTAAATTACCGAAAAAAAGAGAATTTATGAGAATATTCATTTAAGTGATTGATAATTGCCTTTTTCCCTGTTGAAAATTCCTATGTGAGAACACATATGGGATCCCATCCAGGATCTCTTGTGAGTTCTTATGTGGGTTCCCGTACAGGTTCACACATAAGATCCTGTATGAAAAGGTTCCTGGGATGAACTTGCGTGAGATCAAGCGCACGATCTTATGTCTCTGTAAAAGCAATAACACAGGATCCCATGAGGTTTCCTGTGTAGGTTCCTATATGAACAACACGATAAATAGGAACACACATGGGATCTTATCCGAGATCTTGTATGAGTTCTTACATAGGTTCTCACATATAAGAAGATTAATAGCAGCTTAATAAGATTTTATAGAATGCTTTTATATATATGCTATTAATCTTCTTATATGTGAGAACCTATGTAAGAACTCATACAAGATCTCGGATAAGATCCCATGTGTGTTCCTATTTATCGTGTTGTTCATATAGGAACCTACACAGGAAACCTCATGGGATCCTGTGTTATTGCTTTTACAGAGACATAAGATCGTGCGCTTGATCTCACGCAAGTTCTTCCCAGGAACCTTTTCATACAGGATCTTATGTGTGAACCTGTATGGGAACCCACATA